AAAGATCTCCCCGACTGGGAGTCGAACCCAGGTCTCCCGCGCTTGTTCTCGTATGAGATGACAAGCGGAAATCATGACCGTTAGACCATCGAGGAATTGATGGAATGAATCTTCCTTTTTGACCTTATATATCAAAAACATTGGTAAGAGTTGAGCGTTACTAGTGGGCCATTTTTGGTAAGCATATTCCTTGGACGTCACGACCCCTTAACAGCCCTAATTCCGTACCGAGTACAACCTTCTCAATCCGGGGTTATGGATGCAAATGGAAAGTTATTTCTCAATAGAAATGATAAGTTTAATACTTTTAATGTGTCAGATGAAATAGAATTACTACACTTGCTCACAAATACTAACCCTGTTAGTCGAGAATGCCTCAGTCCTGTGATGCGTCTTTCTTTCTTTCATTGTACTATTATACTCACAGCTTTGAAAGAATTACCCGACAAAGAAATATTTTTCCCTGGGCTAAAAAAGATACTAATCACAGTCATATCATATACAGTTATTCTAACATTCACAAGTAATGATGGACATTGAAGCTTCAACCATCGCAGTCCTTGTCCGCCATTCTAATTCAAATCCATCCTCCAACTGTGTCGAACATAGCTTAGTATGTCCCAACATCAAAGAAAATGAACCATCAATATCGCTGAGCAACTTCTGTGGCTTCCTTTGAGTGAGTTAGCACTGTTGAAAATAGACGTAGACATTTAAATATGATACATGTCTTTGCTTTATGGCCCTTTTGGGTTAGATATTGCTTTTACATCTTTTGACGATATGGCATTTTGCTTGGTTCTTGTAATTGATTCAATTTAGTGCCCTGTAACTGAAAAGGTAGGGCGTGTTTATCTATGAATATTCAATGTAAGCTAGATTAGCCCAATGATCTATATATTAAAAGTGGAACTAATCAACGGATGGAACAGTGCTCCAAATATCAAGCGTATCGAATCGTAACTTTATTCAAATCATTTCCCATATTAGAAATTAGTCACTATTTACGACATACAATATCAACTTTTAGAATAAAAGAAAAAAGAAAAAGAAACGCCACCCGACCATGCAAGCCCAAAACCTTAGAAATGCAAACTCATGCCATCATATCATCAACACCAACACCAACATCAACATCACTTCATATAAGCGCATACCCTAAACATCTCCCACCGACCTCTCCGTCCTCTCCTTCAAAGAATCCCCCTCCAACAACCGCTGACAGAAAGGGCTCCTCTTCCGAATCCACGGCCCCGCATAAAGCAAGGCAAACGGAATCGGAATACATGCCAGACTAGCGAATCCCAGGACAGAGGTACCCCACCCCACACCCAGAGTCGAATACAACGGATCCGCAGCAAGCGGGAACAGTGCACCCACGATACTACGCATAATGACCGACGCGGCGAGTGCGCTAGCAGAGTAGATTTTGTATGCGTCTGTGACGTACGTAAGCAGCGAGATAAAGATCATCTGGTAGCCGACGCCGAAGAGGAGGCCAGATAGCACGGGTGAGATCCAGTGGATACTGCGGTTTGCGGTCCAGCCGAGCCAGAATAGGCTGATTGTTAGGCAGGGACCCGCGATGCAGGATATGGGGAGTCGGTGTAGTTCGGGGCTGGTGGTCCAGGATTTGCCGGCTGCTTTGGCTTTTTCGTAGATGGTGTCGTAGTATAGAGAGATTAAACCTGAGGAGGCGGCGCCGATGCCGACTTTTTTGCGGGGTTTGGGTTAATGTGGGGTGATTTGTGGGGTGATTGGGGAGTTACTTACTGGGGATGTAGGTGAGGGATGTGGTTTGGACGTCGAAGTTGTAGGTACCTATTGTATGGTGTGAGTATATGCTTACCATGTATTCAAAGACTTTGTTGGCTAGGTTTAGTCGGGATAGTGGGAAGAGGACGGACTAGAAAATCGTACCTTCGAAGATGATAGGATATGCCTGGAAGTAGAAGAAGACCAGACTATATGCCAGAGAGATATAGAGGGCAGTGAACAGGATGATGGGCTCAAAGACAAGCATAGTTATCGGACGCGTGATGATTTGAGTAGTGCTGTATCGAAACCCTCCATTTTGCAGCTCTTGCTGAGACCGATAAGAATTGCATCCCGACTCCTTCCTGAGTCTCGCAGCCTGTTGTTTCAGGATGACGGGTGAAAAGGTTTCTGCAGTAAGATGTATCAGCATTTATCCAGTATGATATTGTAACAAGCTTGGACGTCATTCAGAATCGGAATGCTCATACCTGACATAAACATAAGTCCTACCCAGGAAATGCCGGCGAAGATTAGGTCAATGCGAAAAGTCCATCGCCAGCCGTACTGGACCGAACAGCCAGATATTATCGGTCCAACAATTGGTCCGAAGCTTGCAGCCTGCGAGCCACGTTAGAAAAGCGATCAGAGGAGAAGAGACAAGCCTTATATTTGTTCAACTTACCGACATATAGAATGCCATGGCCCGTCCCCGGCTGCGTAGGTCTGAAAACATATCCGCATATACTCCACCGATCACAGTCTGCGGTGCGGCGCCCATAGTACCGCAGATCGCTCGAAACACTAAAAGTGAGGGCCAATTCGGCGCAAAAGCACAGGCAAGAGTTGCCAGGACAAAGACATTGAAGCTCCAAGTGAGGACCGGCTTCCGACCGATGGTCTCACTTAATGGGCTAAATACTAGAGGACCTACAACATAGCCGATAAGGAATACAGCTGTTGGTAAGACCTTCTGTCCGTCACCGCGTTGGTGGAAATCTTCCATGATGGCAGGAACCGCATTGCTAGGTAAAGAGGATGATACACCGCTGTTAAGGACAACAAACAGCGCTATTAGAACATTGTACACCTTTTTATTCTAGAATAGGAGACATCTGTTAGTCCTATTAATAATCTCCATGCATCGTCCAAACACAAAATACATACAAAATCCCAATTGTTCGGGTTCGCCGACGACCCCTCCTTAAATTCAACAAGGATTTCATGGTCCGACAGCTCGACCAACTTGTAATGCTCGTCTGTTCTATTCCTGCTCATATTGCATACTGGGGAAGGGCTAGCCTTCACCTCGTCAACTCTCCCTGGTATGTGTTAGGGCTGGGAGAAGAATGGTTTCTTGGAGAACCAACAGTACCTGAACTCTCGGCAATAGAGGTTTGAACAATCACAGATTGCTCTGTTCCCTTTGCCATTTTATATGAAATAGGAAATGAGTAGAGACAAGGGACACGTAATAGAGAATACCAGTCAAGTTTGCTATGTTAATCCATTCCAATGCATTCGGAAGTCGAGGACTCGAGACTATATAAGAGAACAACATCTTTGACGCTCAGGCTTACGGGGTAGAAAAGGTAACACACTGCAAATTGACTCATAGTGGCTAGGCCTTTACAAATTACCCGGATGCGATATCTCACAATCGCCATCAGATTTGTTTCTTTTCCCTTAATAATGATGTACCAATGAATTGCGTGTATACTTCAGTTTTGGAACCGGGGCCGGATCGGGGCCGGTGGACAGAAGAATCCACAACGCGGCCCCGGCCAGGATCCGCGCCGCGATGTCCGTCTCCGGTTGGGAACTCTCATGCACTTCTACGGTTTAGGGGATTCTCCTTGTAGGATCTACTCCGATAGTGTGATGATCATTAGGCGCAACGACATAGTGGATTCCTGCCCAACAACTTGATTTGCTCTGCCTGTGCTAGTTCTAGAGCCCCGGCCCATACCGAAAACTCTGATACTTCCAGAACAAACAGCTTTTACTTTGAAACTCAATATTAATCATAGAAGGAGAAATTAGTCTATTGAACTCTGGTAGAAAGGGGTAAGCAGGGATTATTGTGGCAAAGAAGGCATCACAGGCAAGAAGTCAAATAAATCATTCTGGCCCTCCTCAAAAAGTCCAAAGGAATCTGCAATGGGGTTGTTCGACATGGTCCAGTTGGGCGCTTCCATAGTACCAGCAAATCTTGAAAGAGGCGGTCTAGATACCACAGCTTTGTCGCTACTTGGCATCGATACCGCACTTGTGTCCTTGTCACCTGGGAAAGCCGCGCCGGGTCTATAGCTAGTGTCTTCCAGTGGGACCAGCCCTGTTGGAGGGGTCGTAACCACGGTGGCGTCACTGCGTCCACTTAGAGGTTCCTGCACGTCGCCATGCTCGGGCATATTAGGTGCATCTGCACGGTCATGACTGTGTGGGCGCTGACTCACAATCAAAGCGCGGGCATAGTTCACAAAGAGGGAGACTGTGCGGTGAATATCCGGGTACGGCGGTTGTTTAAGAAATTCGCAGATATGGTGTACTCGTTCTAGCAGTAAATCCTGATCAATGAGCGTTGGGCGCCACCGTGCGATGCGTAATGCAAATGTTGCTGATTCGTTAGCCTCGCCGTCAAGCGGTTGTGCTTGGAACCCTTAGCAGGTTATGGCAACTTACTGACAAAAGCGATCGTCAGCGCTGGGTACGTCGGGGCCCATTCCAGTTGACAGCGGTAGGCCGGCTCTGTGATGAGAAATGCTAATTGGTCCATGATCGTGGTCACAAGGGACTGCCATAGGTTTAGAACTCGCAGGTCCATAGTTTCAGAATCAGACGAGGCAGTCGACTGTAACTTCTGAATTCGTGCCAGCGAAGCGCAGAGAACGAATATTCTGGCGTAGTTGAGCATGAGTTTGAGGCTGCTGCGTTGAAATGCTCCCGCATGAAATCCATTATCTTTGCGCAGAATGGGGTCAGTATTATTCTTTTGAGGCCCTGTGTAGAAGATGAAGGCATACTGTCGTGGATCTCGTCCCACGTGGTCCACCAATTCTGCAACCGTGTCATGATAGCGGGCAGCTCCGTCGAGACTATGTGGTCGATTGTTGATGAGTTCTCAATGATGACCCGGGACTGGCCTGCAGCTATGTCAGTTTTTAGAACGAGAAAGTTGACCAGAGTCCCGCCAAACCTCGAAGTTGATGAAGCTCAATTATGCATACAGTGCGCATATCGCATGGCAGTGAGAGTGGATACTCAAGGAATTTGCGCAACTTCATGATATCCACCTCAGCAATGCGTGATTTACGGCCAGTGCCCGACGCTACGTCCAATTCCAAGGTGAAGCTAATTAGCCAGGTTCTAGTCTGCCATACCAACTGACGATCTGCCATAGAGGCGGTTAGGGAACTCCGGGGAACGTTCTCTTGAGACAGCAATGTATCCAACGACTTTTCTAGGCCGGAATCCAGAGCTGTCCGGAGGATGAGCGCTGTGGAAAACCATGTCTTCTCAGAGTATGCCGCTAGTAGGATCATTCCTTGAACCGCCTCCAGCTTCGTAGGTCGCTCGAAGAAGCCATCCTCGGCCAGTCGCTGCGCTTCATCCTGGAGGACTCGTTGCAAATGTGTGTCGCTGCGCAAGTCCGTCACAGCGCGACTGGCTAGGTAGATGATGACTGTGAAGCAAAAGACAGACCGGGAACGGATGGAGTCAAAGGTGTCTCGAATCGGGTCGAATAATGGCAGGAAATTCTTGCTTCCGCCCATGAATCTGCGAAAAGGAGGTTAGGTACCACTCTGCACTTCTAGCTAAGCAATAGTCCCACCCGTACAGAATGGACATACCGTTCATACATAACTCGAGCTCGCTCCTCACTAACAATGCCTCGTGTTACTATATCGCCTTTCGTGTCACCGTTGGATGGATTATCCATGAATATCTACCAAGCTTAGTGGTGCCATGACGCCTGTCTGTAAACTATCTAGACTTACGTTATTGGACCCTAGCAAGTTAACTGACATAGAATGCATTGCTCCTACCGGCGCGATCATATCATTGGGGCTTAGTTGCTGAGATTCTGGTCCATTTTGCTCAGCAGTTTGAGACGCTCGTAAGTCTTCCAATGCTGAAGGCCCCGGCAAGGAGTCTATGGAAGCATCGTGAAAGGCAGTATCCCTTGCTGAGACCGGCGAATATTCTCGCTCTCTTGATTCGGGCGTGTTCAGACCACTGCCATGACCCCATGGGGAAGTGGTTCCATGTCCTCTATACGATTATATAAGCTGAGGATCGATCTGAAGTAGAACACCAATGGTGGCGGCGCATACCGTGTTGATGGGGCTCCGGTCTTCTTCCGACGCTCACTGTGTCGTCTCCCGTCCTCCATCGGATCCAGAATGCAATCCCGACCAGCCGAACGGCAGCGGAAACAGGGAACTTGCGTCCGTGCATCACAACGCATTTTCTGCTTCCTACACCATCGACAGGCCTTGAAAAAGCGGACCGGAACGTTTCCTGACCTGAAGATTATCTCTGGGGCACTTTCACTCATGTTCGGCTTTGGATGGTCCTGTCGATAATCAACGTTGGTAAACAGAACAGTTTCGGGCCCAGGATTCGCGCCTTGGCATAATAATGTGGTCATAAATTCCCTCATACATACTTTATTCAACTACGTAGTATCCTGGAGTCTCATGGTCTTTCGTTATTCAGCCAGTTCTCCAATGAATGTCATCAGTCTTCCCTGCTTGTACACCGGCTCCGGTCACGTTATTTAGCGCGACACTAGTCCACATTCAGGTACATCGCCAGCAAGCTAGTTCCAATCAGATTAGATCGCTCTCATTCAGCTCATCTACGAGGATTGCACAGGCTAAAAAGGCAATTCGCTTAACGCCAATTCATGATTCGTAGTATTTTTATTATGAAGCAAAAGAAAAAAGGCTTTGATGTCATAAGTTCCTCCGGCCCAAGTCACGTTCTCGCCCCTTCAGTTTTGTACGTAACTCCATGTGCGTATCCCCAAAGCCTCCACTCCCTAAGAACGAGAATGATTAGAATCTCTGTTTCTAGCCAGTCCTTTCCAGGATACTGGGCGATGATTGCTTCGTTCGTGACTCATTAATCTCAAGAAATAATGAATCTCGCGACCATCATCGCGTATGCAATAAGGTCCATTGCCACCACCTGGGTCAAGTAGTGCTCGTATTACTCCTCCCTTCTCATACTGGTAAAATAGGGCTTTAGGGCCTTGGAAGATTGCGCCCCACAGAAAAGCAGGCCAGCTTCCATCTTGTGGTGTGATCCCAAATCGTGTGCGGCAGATCTTCTTGAGCTTCTGGATGGAACTATTGAGGTGGTGGTCATCTGGCATGACTAGAACCATCAAATGGTGAATGGGACCTTCGCCGTCGTGGCATTCGACAATATAAACTACTTCTCCTTCGACCTCCTCCATAACAAACTTCCATCCAAACTCCTCCGGAAAGTAATTCATAAGGAGGGAAACAACCATTTGAATCATAAGGGATATCTGTTCTGGGTGCTCTTGTTTTTTGGAGCTAATTTCGACAGGTGTCAACCACTTTTCTGACCAGTTTATCGTTGTAGTTATCGTCTGGAGAACACATTGTACTATACTGGTGTACTCTTTGAGCCAGAATTCCTTGGGCTCTCTTGGCACGTCTTCGTTCATGATAAGCACCTTATTATCGTAGAACTCTGGTGGCTTTGAGGATTGATCATGGAGTAGTGAAAACTACTTCTTCAGCGGTGCATTCTCGAGACATTATATACTGTGTCGAAAGCCTTGTTTCTGGGTATTATGACCCATAGGGAGATACGCGGTGCAAAATACCGCTATAAAGACTCAACAAAGAAATGAATCCAGGAAAGTCACATCGCAAGCCCGAAACATGACCATCTTACGAACAATATCATTGTTCAAACACGGCACAAGCCGTGCTACTCACGCCTTAATAGAACAATCCTGAGAAACACCCCCCCTGGTGACAAATAGAAAAAAGGAGAAGGAGAAGGAGAACACAGATATCCTTAGGGGATCTCGGAATCATGCGCTTTAGCTAGGCTGGGTTATTCCGTATTGTTAGCCTTTCTGGGTGACTCCCTCGCAGAAGGGCTCTACCGAGGAGTAGAATTGTCCCTCCTTCCGGGTCCTATAAATGATAGGAACATTCCTGTCGAGTACGATGGATAAACCCCTGGGAAGGAGGTGGCTCATCCCGTGAAAGACTTCGGGACTATCAATCTGCATACACATATTGAACATACTCCAGAACCATATAGTAGCGAACGCTTCCTGTTTCAACAATGGTTACTGTCCGGGTACACAGACCAAGTTCCGCTTAAGACTTATATGTATGTACTTATCATGCTCACTCCTGGTATGTTCCTTCATTGCGTGATAATCTCTCACTCAGACGGACATATAGGAAATTGCCCCCTTCCAATAAGGCATACATAGACGATGTAAGATCGTTTATGGGTTCCCAAGTCTGTTTTCAGTCTACTGCTCATGTAAACTTGCTATAGAATACTTTCAATGCCTAAGAAGTTAGCTTGTTAGCAAAGGTGCTACTTGTCGTCTAGCAAGTGGCATGTTTTAGTCTCCTTGATGTTGAGTTTGGTCTGATGTATCTATGCTTCATTCTCTATGATGCATTGACGTCAGAGACGCTCATTCGTGGTCCTCGGGCCATTGTGATTTACACATCATACTCATGTCGTGTAACCGGTTATTCACATATTGACGCTTGGAATTGTGACTCGAAATCATTTTCTTCCGTTGAATGACAACAGTTCAGTGCGACCAGTTCAGAAATGAAAGGCCTCGGTGGTCCATAGTGTAAATCGTCTTATATATGGGGTTCAAATGGAGAAAAAATCAATGCATTATCTAGTATAAGAGTTTGAAGTTCTCTCGAATCCTGCACGGCATATAGGTGATGGTGATGGTAAGGCTTATGTTGAACCGTTTGAGTGTATGTTAATTAGAGGATATGGGCCAAAAATATATATACGTATTTTTAAGTTGTGAAGTGGGTTTAAATGGACTGACTGGAAGGCGATTCAGGTGAAAACATTTTTGAGAGACGAGAATTAAGAGAATTAAGATTTATCATTTAGCATAAAATTTGTCGACCATAATTAATCCGTATTATCAGCCTTTCCGCAAACGATGAAGGGTGCGTGCCTGATGATCGAAGGTGCCTGACGTTAGTGCGCGGAAATGGAGTCCTGAGGCAGGAAACCTAATCAACCCGAGGAACAACGCAACGTTTCTCCGCCTTACGTAGTGTGTGATCTAATGCAATGTCTCTCCGCTTTTCCATTTCCCTTCCTATCGTCACGTCACTCCACCCCCCCCAAAGCTTCCAACTCAATTCTTCATCCGCTTTCTCATTGCTTTGCATGGTTGATGGAATGAGCTGGATTCATCCTGTCATCCATGTTCAGCTAATCTGGCTCAGTTGATTTCCCTTTACACTACGAATATATACTATCTTTAGAAATCGCATTGACATCACGCGTCCACTGCCGTTGGAATCCTTGTTTCGCAGCATCCCTGCCGGACGTGGCAGCGCCGTTATTCCTCACTTTATACTTCGAACAAGCCCGGCTCTTTCCCTCGTCTGTTAATCGCCTTGAATGATTCTGACTAGCTCTCAACCAAACGCATCCGGTCGATCCCGTCTCGAGAACCCTGTCTCCGACCATGCGGGGACTCCGCTTCGTCCCCGTCATCGCTAGCCTCGGCTCTGTGTTCATACCACAATCGTTAGCCCAGGGCGAGACTGCACTGCACGAGAAATGGCGTTGTGCTATTCGAGGACACTGTGGGAAGAAGTCCATCTTTGGCGGAGAGCTACCATGCCCAGATAATGGCGTCGCAGAGGAACCGGAAACAGCGGTGAGGAAGAAACTCGTGGATTTATGTGGCAGTAAGTGGGAGGAAGGCCCGGTGTGCTGTAAAGATGAGCAGGTACGTGTCAAATGTGATATGTCACGGCAATTGACATATTGAACTGCATTCCTAATTGTTCCATGGTTAGATCGATGCGCTCTCCAAGAACTTGAAGCTTGCCGAGGGTATCATCGCCTCCTGTCCTGCATGCAGAGAAAATTTCTTCAATATCTTTTGTACTTTCACCTGCTCCCCGGACCAGTCTCTCTTCCTCAATGTGACGGAGACCGAGCCCAGCAGCTCTGGCAAATCCTTGGTGACCGAACTAGACAACATCTGGTCGGAAGAATACCAAAGCGGATTTTACGAGAGCTGCAAGAACGTGAAGAATGGAGCATCAGGTGGTAAAGCGATGGACTTCATCGGCGGCGGCGCAAAGGATTATACGCATTTTCTTAAGTTTCTGGGAGACAAGAAGCTTCTGGGTAGCCCCTTTCAGATAAACTTCAAAACCGAGCCCACCGGTCCGGACCCTCAGGGAATGCATCCGCTACCCATCAAGCCCAAGGCATGCAATGACTCAGATGAAGCCTTCCGTTGCTCTTGCGTGGACTGCCCTGATGTATGTCCACAGCTGCCCGCAGTGGAAATGGACAATCAATGCCATGTGGGCCTTTTGCCTTGTCTGTCTTTTGCTGTTATTCTGATATATTCCGTGTTTCTGCTATTCGTTGTGGCTCTTTCAAGCTACTTCACGTATAAAGAACGGCGCCACCGCAAACCGGAACGGGTCCGACTGCTTCAGGACCCGACGCCGAGCGACGATGAAGACGAAGGCGATATTGTTCATGCCGGAGGCTACCTCGAGCAGCCCAAAGGTGTTTATAAACTGAACTCTGTGTTGGATAGTGTGTTCAACCGTATTGGCGGCACATGCGCCCGGTTCCCCGGGTTTACCATTGGGTCTAGCATCGTCGCAGTGGTGCTGTTGAGCCTGGGCTGGTTGATGTTTGCTGTGGAGACCGACCCAGTGCGACTGTGGGTGAGCCCTACGTCAGCAGCCTTCCAGGAAAAGCAATACTTCGACGCCAATTTTGGCCCCTTCTATCGTGCGGAACAAGCATTTCTTGTCAATGACAGTGGCCCCGTTCTTACCTATGATACCTTGAGTTGGTGGTTCGATGTCGAGTCCCGAGTCCGGCGGATGATATCACTGGACCGTGAGATTATTCTGGATGATATCTGCTTCAAACCTACAGGTGACGCCTGCGTGGTCCAGTCTGTGACTGGTTACTTTGGTGGTTCGATGTACAATCTTGACCCGGACACTTGGAAAGAACGTGTGAGACATTGTGCCGAATCTCCGGGTGATGTAAACTGCCTTCCTGAGTTCGGTCAGCCACTCAAACCAGAAATGATCTTGGGCGGCTATGAAGAATCGGGAGATGTGTTTGACGCTCAAGCTCTGATCGCCACATGGGTGGTTAATAACCATGCCCAAGGGACCGAAAATGAAGCGAATGCGATCGACTGGGAAGACAGCTTCAAGGGAATTCTCGGTGTTGTCCAAGAAGAGGCCAAGGAACGTGGCTTGCGCGTGTCTTTCAGCGCCGAAGTTAGCGTTGAGC